GTGAGGCAGAGAGAGAGGCCTTCCATCTGCTGGTTCATTCCTCAGATGGCCGCAATGGCCGGAGCTGTGCCGATCCGAAGCTAGGAGCCAGGAGCTTCTTTTGGGTCTCCCACGTGGGTGCAGGGGCCCAAGCACTTGAATCATCTTGTACTGCTTTCCCAGGCCATAGCAGAGAGCTGGATCGGAAGTGGAGCAGCTGGGTCTAGAACCAGCGCCCATATGAGATGCCGGCACTTCAGGCCAGGGCCACAGCACCGGCCCCTGCAGTGGGGAAATTAAAGACCGACACCACCACCCCACGGGCCTCCTTTCTCGTTCAGAACATTTACCGAATGGCATCCTTGGGTATGTCCCAGAGCTGGAGGAACTGTTTCTAGACATTTTTTTTTTTTTTTTTTTTTTTGGACAGGCAGAGTGGACAGTGAGAGAGAGAGACAGAGAGAAAGGTCTTCCTTTTGCCATTGGTTCATCCTCCAATGTGGCCGGCGCACCGTGCTGATCCGATGGCAGGAGCCAGGTGCTTCTCCTGGTCTCCCATGGGGTGCAGGGCCCAAGCACTTGGGCCATCCTCCACTGCACTCCCTGGCCACAGCAGAGAGCTGGCCTGGAAGAGGGGCAACCGGGAAAGAATCCAGCAGCCCAACTGGGACTAGAACCCGGTGTGCTGACGCCGCAAGGCGGAGGATTAGCCTATTGAGCTGCGTTGCCGGCCCTGTTTGTAGACAAATTTAAAGCTGACTGTGGGCGTTTGCACAGCCGTTCCCTTGGCCAGCCCAGATGCTCCCCTCTGTCTTTGCATGGCTGTCATCACTCAGATTTCAGCTAAAACATTATCTCGGGAGAAAGGGCTTGCCTGACCATTTAATTTTTTAAAAGATTTATTTATTAATTTATTAATTTATTTGAAAGGCAGAGCGCCGGGCCCCTGACCATTTAATTTTATGGAGTCATCCTGTAGCTAAATTCTGATTTTCTGACCTGATTTCCTAAGTGAAAGTGTTTTACTTGGTTTTATAATTATTTATCCCCTCAAACCTTTAGAATGAGAACTTGAGGAGAATAGGGCTCCTGTTCTCCATTGGTCATAAGCTCACCTAGAAAAGTCCTTGTTATCAGAGTCAATGTCGGATGAAGATTTATGGAGGGGCTGGCACTGTGGCGTATTGGGTAAGGCCACCACCTGCAGGGCAGGCATCCCTTATGGGCACCAGTTCTAGTCCTGGCTGCTCCACTTCTGTTCCAGCTCTCTGATATGGCCTGGGAAAGCAGTAGAAGATGGCCCAAGTCCTTGGGCTCCTGCACCCACGTGAGAGACCCGAAAGAAGCTCCTGGCTCCTGGCTTCAGATTGGCACGGCTCCTGCCATTGCAGCCAACTGGGGAGTGAACCAGCAGATGGAAGACCTCTCTCTCTGTCTCTCCTCTCTCTGTGTAACTCTGACTTTCAAATAAATAAATAAATCTCTAAAAAAAATTTATAGAGCAATTAATTTTCCAGTGTCATGTCCTCAAAGCACCTCTCCTTCCTCTTCTCTGGCCAAAGCTCACATCTCTGCCTGTTTCCCCAGTGTTTTTAATCTCCTGAAGGCAGGAGATGGGTTCCTGTCACTTCCTTGTTCCCAAGAGTGTAAGCCAGGGCTGGCTCGCAGGAAGGATCTGGTGAGAGTGAGGAGAGGAGCAGACACCTGGGGCAGAGGGAGAGACCAGACCAGTCCGGGGCTCCTCCAGGCCTGGGTTTCCAGGAGCGCCCATGCCTGTCACCTGCGCCTGATCAAGTGGCCCAAGTCCCCGCGGTGACCTGCCTTCCCACGCTCCTCGAACCACTTCATCTCACCCAGCAACTCGAGAGCTTTATTTGCCCCTGGCGAGAGGCAGGGCTGAGTCACTTCCCTTTGATGCTGTGTATGATTGACAGATCAGCATCTTGAGGGTTGTGGGCTCAAGTCACCAGGCCCATTCCCACTGCAGGGAAACTCGTCCAGGAGCCAAGGGAGACACCATCTAAAGACAACCCTTCTCAGAGCTGTGTTTCCTGGTGCCATTGACACGACCATGAAAGGCCTGTGGGCTCAGAGGGCAAAGGCATAGAGCCCTCACAGCAACCGGGCAGAGCTCCCAGAAACACGGGGATTTACATAAAGCCAGGACCCCAGCCTTGCTACAGACTTACAGGAGGCGTGGCCTGGGGGGAGCAGAAGGGGAAAGAGAAAGACACCTGAGAGCAAGAGCACAAGGAGAAAGACGTGAGTCTAGGGCAGAGAGATTCTCCATTAGGGACGTCTGCTGTCTCAGAGCTGGGGTTTGAATTTGTGCTGCTGCCGCCATCATCATCAGCATCATTGATGCTGTTTATGCGAAGGTGAAACATTGTATTTCAAGTGTCCCAGCTCATCACAGCCCAGTGCACTGTGGAGTGTGAAAGCAATGGAGAGCTTCACCCCTAACCCAAGAGAGACCAGGATTTTGTCAGATGGAGATCAGGTAGATTGGAATTCATCTTATAAATATTACCAGACACAACTGGAAATAAGCAGAGAGTGGACAGAAAGAACACAGCTCAGAGAGATTCCACCGAGGATTGTGCATGGCACGCTACAGATAAATGAGCAGTCAGCTCTCTGTATCCAGAGGTTCAACCAAGTACAAATCAAAGACATGAGTATGGCCGGGCCTGTGTTGATTATGTCTGCACTGAACAGGTATAGACTGTTTTTCTTATCATTATTCCCTAAACAATAGAGCATAACTATTATACAGCATTTAGGTTGTACTGGTACTGCAGGTAACCTAGAGATTGTTTAAGGTATTTAGGAAGATGTGTGCAGATTGTATGCACCTAGCACAAAGGGACAAGAGCATTAACAGACTCTGGTATCCACAGGCAGTCATGCACTCAATCTCCCAAGGACCCTGAGGGAGGGACGACCGAATATTTTAAAAGATGCAATCATTGGGGTCGATGTGGTGGGCCAGTGGGTTAAGCCGCCACTCCCATGTCAGAGTGCTAGTTTGAGTCCCCACTGCTCCACTTCTGATCCACCTCCCTGCCAATGCGCCTGGGAAAGCAGTGGAAGATTACCCAAGTGTCTGAGACCTGGATGGAGTTCCAGGCTCTTGGCTTCAGCCTGGGTCAGCCTTGGCCATTTTAGCTATTTGGGAGTGAACCAGTGGATAGAAGGTCTCTCTGTCTCTTTCCCTCTCAGTCTGTCACTCTGCCTTTCAAATAAATAAGTAAATTGTTAAAGGGAAAAAAAAGACACTATAATTAAGAAATAAATAAAAAATTCAATTAATGAACTAGACATAACACTCAATTAATGAACTAAGGACATAACTACACAACTAGTAATAATAATATAATAATAACCTGGCTCTTTGCAAGAAAACATAAATTTAGCAGTATGACTGCGGTAGTTTGAGGTTTCTGATTTTTTACTTCCTCCTCATTAAACAATTATATAACCATGCTCTTTGCCAAAGTACTTTCCAGAGGCTCCCGTTACAGTGTGTGCAGTAAACACCCCAGGCCCTGTGACACCAGGCTGAGCCAGGTGACTGGGGTGGACAGAAAGGCAGCAGCAGCTTTCCAAGAGCCTGACAAGGCCTCTCGTGTTGGTTTCCCCATCGCGGGGAGGGGTGGTGGAATATGTCCCTGGTAAACACCAGTGTCAGGATTATTACAAGATCCGGAACAGCCACAATCTCGCCTGAAAGCCTGAAGTCCATTCGCTGCCGCCGAGTCCAGGCGACCTCGGCAGAGACCAGCAAAGCTCAGCAAACCTGAAGACCCAGAGCAAGTCCCAGCGCTCTGTTGCTGTAAGCACCTGATGGAGATTTATTGCTGCACCAGCTGATCCATGTGATAGCGGTGATAATATGAAATATATAAGAAATAAGCAAACCAGGAAGGAAAATGGAACCTTACACTTACATGGACAGTACTGCCATTATAAAGTCACATTATGCAATGGTTTATTTGCGAATTAGAGGAATAGGTAATACTAGAAGGCACTTTAGCATTATGTAAGTTGTCTGAAGCTACTGTCATTAGTCATAAAGTATTGAAGGTGGACACTGGCCCAGAGGTCCAGATGTCCACGTCCAATATCAGAGTGCCCGGTTTTAATACCCACCGCTGGCTCTTCTAGCTTCCTCCTGATAATGTAGACTCTGGGAGGCCGTGGGTGGTGGCTCAAGTGCCACCCACATGGGAGACCTGGATTGAGTGCCTGGCCCCTGGTTTCAGCCCAGTCCAGTTCTGGTCCTGTAAGCATTTGGAGGGTTGGTCAGCTGGTGAGGGAGTTCTGTCTGTGCGTGTGTTTGTGTGCGTGTGGATGTATGTGTGTGTACCATGTTATATTTTTTAACATTTAATTTCAGAATAGCTTTAACTTTACAAAGCAAAAGTCATGAGGCAGTTATACAAAGAGTTTCCTTATACCCATCACCTCTTTTCCCTTGTTAATATCTCCTATCTTTGTCACAATCAATGAGCCACACCCAGCTTCCCCTGTTTTTTAAATTCAAATACGTCTTATCACTTCTGTAACACTGACACACAGCTCCTTTATATAAACATACATGGAAGCCAAAATTATCAACTATTAGGCCGGCGCCGCGGCTCAGTAGGCTAATCCTCCGCCTTGCGGCGCCGGCACACCGGGTTCTAGTCCCGGTCGGGGCATCGGATTCTGTCCCGGTTGCCCCTCTTCCAGGCCAGCTCTCTGCTGTGGCCAGGGAGTGCAGTGGAGGATGGCCCAAGTGCTTGGGCCCTGCACCCCATGGGAGACCAGGAGAAGCACCTGGCTCCTGGCTTCGGATAGGCGCGGTGCGCCAGCCGTGGCGGCCATTGGAGGGTGAACCAACGGCAAAGGAAGACCTTTGTCTCTCTCTCTCACTGTCCACTCTGCCTGTCAAAAAATAAATTATCAACCATTCTCACAGAAAAAGATGGATTTAAGGTGAGTTTTGCCAAATCTTCAGAAAAAAGACAATTCTTTTTATTCTTTAAAGATGTGTTTATCTGTTTATTTATTTGAGAGGTAGAGTTACAGAGAGAGGGAGAGACAAAGGTCTTCTATCTGCTGCTTCACTCCCCAGATGGCCGCAATAGCTGGGCTCGGGTCAGGCCAAAGCCAGGGGCCAGGACCTTTTTCCCAGGTCTCCCATGAGAGTTCAGGGGCCCAAGCACTTCGGTCATCATTCTCTGCTTTCCCAGGCACATTAGCAGGGAGCTGGATCAGAAATGGAGCAGTCGGGTCTCGAACCGGTGTCCAAATGGGAGGCATAGCATTGCAGGTGGCGGCTTTACCTGCTACGACACAGCGCTGGCCCCTCTTGCTTTAGTTTAATTTAGGGGAAGAATTAATCATTTGTGTGCCGGGTCCCAGGCACTCGCGGCAGAGAAATCAGATGAACTAGCACGCATGAAAGACTGAGAAGCACTTCTTGTCATTCCTGTGTGGGTTTCTGGGTTTTGAGCCAGAGCTTCCTTTAGCCCAAGAAAAGAAGTGAAAGTGGTGAGGAGAGCACTTGAAGGCGTGAGGGCAGGAGGAGTGGGGCCCCCTGGGGGTTGCGTCCTAAGCAAAGAGGCACACAGGCACATCCCCACACATCCCTACTGTACACGGCCTGGCCCCCTCTGAAGCAGACCTGGGACTGGGGGCCTGACAGGGACCTGGGACTGAACCCCGAGGGGCATGTCCCATTGCTGAGCAGTAGAACACACCCGGGTGGCTGAGTGGGAGTGCAAGCCATAACATCACCCCCACGAATGCACCATGAGCACCCAGCCCAGGAATTACCTGGGCGCCAGCCAGCAACACTGGTGGCCAGATATTCTCCCAAGTGTCTGTGTAGCTCCCATCGCTCCATGCACCCGAGGGAGGAGAACGGGACACCCTTCCCTCTGGACAAAGCGAGCACACACTGAGGTCGACTTTCCCCATTCTTCAGGCTAGCAGCGGCTCGGAGCCGTCATGAGTCTGAGCTATAGAAATACAGGCACGTGGTGCTTCTTGGAACACATTCACGATTTATTACGCTTGAGTCATCTCTGTCCAGCCCGAGGATGGGGCGGTTAGGAGCGTGAGCTCCAGGTCGGGGTAGGGAGACTTGAACTGATGCTCTGCCACCTGCTCTCCATAACAACATTCAGAACTTGAACTCCTTGAAGCTCCGGCATCATCAGATTTTTTAAATGGGGAAAATAGCACTGGCCTGTGGCATTGTGATAAGATTTCGTAATATTTGATACGATGCCTGTGAAGGTGGTCGGTACCTAGTGAGTGCAGTGAACGGCCTCTTTCGGTAGCAGTATTTATGGCAGTGAGGGGGACGGTGATCACTACAAGATCAATGAGTATTTTATCCCCGTGTGATAGATGAACAAACAGGTTCAGGGCAAACAACTACCTCCAGGTGCCTTATCCACCCAAGACTCGGCCTGACACTCATTATGATATTTTAGTGAAACATCGGGCTGAATGAATTTATGAATAGAGAAAGCAGAGCCAGTGGCGTGGTGAGGGCCGTGACCACCTCACCGAGGTCTGAAGAGGGGCAGGGGACATGCTCGTAAGCAGGAAGTCACCCAGGTTATATGAAGGTGGGCGGACATGATCTTGCCCCAGAGGCCTTGGCTGGCTGCTTTTAGGTCCAGTGAGCGAGATCCAATACAAAATCCAATCCAAAGACTCAGGGGACTGGATCGCACCTGCCAATCACTAGGGGTGAGCTGGCCACCACTTTGCTGGGGAAGAGCCTGGGCAGAGGGTGTGCCACCGAGGAGGAGTAGAGGGGATGGAGGCAGGCAGTCTCTGTGTGGCTTTACGGGGTCCTCCATCTGGGACCTCACTGCTGCCTTGTGTAGGCGAAGGAACTGGACAAGGTGAGGACTCTGTCTCAAGCCAAGGCCAAGGTTAGTGACTGCCTCGAGTTCAGTGCTAAGACTGGGCTCAAGGGAGTGTCAAGGCTGATTGGTGATTATGGGGGAGCAGCCAGAACTCATCCAGGGCTCCAAGTGGCTAAGGATGCTTCCAAGTCTAAGAGCCACAAATAGACTTCGTTTATAAGGAGTTACAGCATCTTGTAGACCAAGGGCCCCTCGGGAGGGAGGTGGAAAAGCAAGGCAGGATCCTGTCTATTTTGTGGCCCAAGTGCTAGCTCAGAACTCACAGATGACCAGCCGGTACTGCAGGCAGTTCTTGTCATTCCACTTCCCATCTGTGTACATCTCCACACATTTCTCTCTGCCTTGACCTCTGGGCTCCCCTGGGTACCAATTGGTGTAGTTCACAGGGTCCCCATCCAGGTAGTAGAAGTCTCCAGCGGTGGGGCCCTCGGCCAGGCCCAGGTAGGCGTAGGTGTTACGCTCCTTCACGATGCTTGCAATGGCCTCGTTCTCCTCTAGACTCCTCGGGACGGCAATGCGGCCACCTGCTCTGGCGCATACCTCTCTGATGGCATCAAAATTGACCGACTGCCCATTGGTGGAGAAGATCTTCTCTCCCACTGCCTTCATGGACCCCTGCAAGCTGAGGACTGCAAGGACAGAAGTCTGCGTCGGGCCACTGATGGCTTTGTCCCCAGGCCCATCTCCCTAATGGGGCTCTGTGCCATCAGGTTCTCTCCGACCTCTCTGTCTCTGCCTCTCTCTGTGCCGTTCCCTCCCTCTCCCAACCCTGCCTTTCTAGTCTCATCTCTGCCTTCATCTAGACAGCTGTTCGTCCACTGGAACAATCATTGCCAGGAACCGAGAGCCAGTGCAAGCACGATAGGCGGAGAATTTGCTTTCCTAGGACACTGGGACTGAATCCGTTTCTGTCTCCTCTGGACCAAAGACACAAGAAAAAGAAAGCACCCTTTCTGTTCCCAGGACCTGCGTGTCCACATTTGTAAGTCAGGTTCCTGGAGGCTGCTGCTGAGGATGAGGGAAACTTGTGGGATTCCCCGACCCCGCGAGACCCCAAGTGGTCCCCCTCACCTCCTATTGACTGCAGGGCATGGTGTCTGAGTTCGTGGAGTGTGGCTTGGAGCTCCTCGTCTAGGTAAGCTGGAAGCCCTGAGGAGAGACCCCGCCCCCACCGAGGATGAGGGGCGAGCCTACAAATACCTCTGCTCGCTGCAAGCCTGGAACTCCATCCTTCAACTGCCCAGACCCCAAGGTGCAAGGGTCCCCAAAGCTGGAGTGCTTCCCCCACTCCCTCCTCACACTCCCTTCGATGCAGCCTTGCACCTGCGAAGCCCCCTCCTGTCCTCCTTCCCTGCTACAGCCCTGGAATGACTCTGGGGTTTTCTGACTTAGGGGCAAGGCCCCAGTAGCCCCTCTATCAAAGGCAAACAGGATTATCTCTGCACTCTCCTGGTAGATATTGTGTACTCCTCTGAGAGTCAGAGAAGCCCAGCGCACGCTCTGCCTGGACCCCTAGCCCACCTGCCCCAGCAAGCGCCTCCTCTGCCTCCCAGTGCTGCCCCTCTCCCCACACCTGTCACCCTGTGTCTGCCCATCAGTAGCTCTGATGCATGGATCGCTTTCTACCCTGTGCACACTGCTCTGACACTCCTGATTTCCAGCCCCCGCCCCCAACATCGTAGTTCACTTAGACTGGAGGCCTCTGTGCTTTGTCCAGTCCCCCAGGCCCCGTGTAGCTGACTGCATGCGCACTGCGCCCATGTCACCACTGCCCATATGCCTCTCACACTACTCACCTGGAGGACCCCTCTCCCCAGGCTCGCCCTTGTCTCCACGCTCCCCAGGAACACCTGGGGCTCCAATCAGTCCGTCACGCCCAGGGAGACCGGGCATTCCTCCCGGGGGGCCCATGGGGCCTGCGGAGAGAAGGGGACATGGATGCATGGACCCCATTATCAGCCAGACCCACCCCTCTCTCACTCCACGGGCACCTTGAGGCTAGATTTTCCAGGAGGCTTCAACTCAAGGGCCCTGGGAAACGCCTGCCAAGTCCCATCCAGCTGGCCCTTGGGCCCAACCGGATGGGCCTCCTCCAAATGGACTTTGGTCTGTCCTGACACAGTACCTGGGGGCCCAGGGTCTCCTTTGACACCATCTCTCCCATCTCTGCCGGGCAGGCCATGGGATCCGGGAGTTCCGGGGATGCCAGGGCTTCCAATGCAAACATCCTTTGTGTCGCACGTGTCAGAGGCTGGCGCTGAGATCAGGGTGAGGGCCAGGGAGAGCAGCAACATGGCGCCTGCTCCAGCAGCGTCTCCTGAATGGGAGAAGGGCCACGAGCTGTTGGCAGCACCAACTTTGCCAGGACGCAGGAACACGGCAGAGCCTGAGGGCCGGGCCGGATCCACACTAGAGTGTTGGGAAGACCCAAACTATCCAGGGAAAGTCCCAGCACCCCCCGGGGCCCCTGTCCCCTCCCCCTGGCTTGAGGTAGGACGGTCCCAGCACAGGTGAGGAGGAGTAGGGAGCCCTGGTGGGTCAGCGGGTCTGGGTTCTCCGGAGTCTTCTCTGTGACACATCACTGTGTGGCCCTGAGGGAGTCACCCCACCTCTCTGGTCTCAGCCGAGTCCCCTGTGCCCTGTGGAGTCCTGACCCCTCCTTGGCAGGCTGCTAGGAGGAGGAAGGACGTGGTAACTCCCTCACTGACTCACTCACTCTGTCCCACTCTCGGTCACCTGAGATGAGCAGAGATGTCCAGGACCCACAGCCTAGCCGCCCCTCCCATCCCCCAACATGGTCAGTGATGGGGAGTCCTCCCCTTCCCAGCCCGGCTCTTAGCTGGGCCTGTGGCCACTAGGCTGTCTCTCACTGCCTATACCGGATGCACTGGAGACGACCCAGGGGATGGGGCGAAACTCACCTGCACACAGAGCCTCCAGGCTATGTGGATCTCTCTCTACCCCCAAGCCAGAGTGGACAGTGGACAGGACCATATATAGGATGCGGCCTCCCAAGCTTCCTCCCCACCCCTGCAGGTCCCCTGTCACGAGGGCCTCTACCCTGGGGTGGGTGGGGCAGGAAGCCGCCTTCTTGTTTGCGCAGCGCATTTCCCCACAGAGCACTCAGGCTGAAGAATCACTTAGGACCCTTGAAGAGAGCAGGGGAACCTGCCAAAAGGAACTGCAGGTGTGTAGGAAGGGGATGCCCCCACCAGCCCCAGGGCTGAGGTCACCCGCTCTCCTCCCAACAAGTTTCTCTGCAGTGAAGGGTGGCGGCCCTCCCCTGTGTGGCCGCGGAGGGCCACGTGGGCCCTGCACAGCCTCTTCTGCACGGCCGCAGAGGGCCATGTGGGCCCTGGTTGGGTTTTGTGACAGTGCAGAGGCTGTGACTCAGGCTCAGTGGTCCAGGTTGAGCCGGAGCAAACTGTCCGTCCCAGGACCTGGCTCATGGCTGGGCCCCCCAGGGCTTCCTAACCCCTGCCTCTGGGACCTGCAGCGGAGTGACTGGGCACATGGTGAGGAGGACCAGAGACATACCCCACTCGCAGGGGCAGGAACCCAGGCAGTGCTGTTTGGAGCATGGAGTGATTACAGCCACCCGGATGCTCCACTTGCCAAACACCACTGTTCTGTGGGTTCTGGGCCCAATGTGGGATGGGGACACAGAAGGAATACTGTCTAGCTCTTTCTGCGAAGTGAGCATTAGCCTAATACCAAAGCCAGAATAAGAAAGAAAACTATAGACCAACTTCTCTCACGAATAGAGATACAAAAATCCTCAACAAGGGGTGGGCATTTGCCCTAGCAGTTCACATACCAATTAGGGCTCCCACATCCCATATCAGCGTACATCCCATATGGGCGTTGGTTCAGGGCCTGACTCCTCCACTTCCAATCCAGCTCTCTGCTGTGGCCTGGGAAAGCAGTAGAAGATGGCCCAGATCCTTGGGCCCCTGTACCCACGTGGGAGACCTGGAGAAAGCTCCTGGCTCCTGGCTTCTGATCGCACAGCTCCAGCCATTGTGGCCATCTGGGGAATGAACCAGTGGATGAAAGACCCCCCCCCCCCTGCCTCTCTTTCTGTGTAACTCTCTGACTTTCAAATAAATAAATAAATCTTTAAAATAGAAAGAAAGAGAGAGAGAGAGAGAAAGAGAGAGAGAGAGAAAGAGAGAGAGAGAAAAAAAAGAGAAAGAAAGAAAGAAAGAAAGAAAGAAAGAAAGAAAGAAAGAAAGAAAGAAAGAAAATGAAGAAGTGGGATTAACCTATCCAGTCTTAAGACTTGAAGAGTTAAAATGACCAACACGGTGTGGTATTGTGCAACTGTGAGAATAGTAATAACCCTGTGTTGTTTTCTTGAAAATTGCTAAGAGAGTAGATTTTAAGTGTTCTCAGCACAAAAACATATATGTAAGTATGTCAGCTATCGATTCTCGGCCTTTTGGCTAAATCAAGTGAAGTATGTCAGCTAACGCATTAGCTCACTGTGGCTCTTCCACAGTGGAAGGGACACACATGTACACGCACCGCGCCTGCCCTCTGCTGGAGGAGGGAGTGTCCTGGGCTTGTGAGCCCCGTGCAGTCCACACCTGCATCTGCATGATTTCAAAGCAACCCCTGGCCCCTGGTGTATAAGGGATGATCTTGAGTCTACTAACGACGGAGGGCTTGTGGGTGCATCTGGGATTTGTTGCTCATGGATCCAGGACTGTGAACAATAATGACTCCAAGTTCAGGGGCAGGTGTTCAGCCAGAGATGCCAGTCAATATTCCTGTATCCCACATCAGAGTACGTGGGTTCAATTCCTGGCTCCGACTTGGGGCTCCCAGAGTCTGGGAGGCAGCGGTGACGTCTCAGCAGTGATGCCACCCACATGGGAAACCTGAATTTAAGTTCCTGGAGGCCGGCGCCGTAGCTCAATAGCCTAATCCTCCACCTAGTGGCGCCAGCACACCGGGTTCTAGTCCCGGTCGGGGCGCCAGATTCTGTCCCGGTTGCCCCTCTTCCAGGCCAGCTCTCTGCTATGGCCCGGGAGTGCAGTGGAGGATGGCCCAAGTGATTGGGGCCTGCACCCCCATGGGAGACCAGGATAAGTACCTGGCTCCTGCCTTCGGATCAGCGCGGTGTGCCGGCCGCAGCGCGCTGGCCGCGGCGGCCATTGGAGGGTGAACCAACGGCAAAGGAAGACCTTTCTCTCTGTTTCTCTCTCACTGTCCACTCTGCCTGTCAAAAAAAAAAAAAAAAAGGTTCCTGGGGCCTGGCTCTGGCCCAGCCCATCCTTGGCTGCTGCAGGTTTTAGAGGAGTGAACCAGAAGATGGGAGTGCTCTCTCTTTATCTTCTCCTCTCTCTCCCTCTCAAACAATTCAACTACTTTTAAAAAAAAAATTACTTATTTATTTGAGAGGTAGAGTTACAGACACAGAAAGGTTTTCCATCACTGGTTCACTCCCCAAATGGCCACAACAGCCACAGCTGAGCCAATCCGAAGCCAGGAGCATCTCCTGGGTCTCTCACGTGGGTACAGGGCCCAAGGACTTGGGCCATCTTCTACTGCTTTCCCAGACCATAGCAGAGAGCTGGATCGGAAGTGGAGCAGCCGGGACTCGAACTGGCGCCCATATGGAAAGCTGGCACTGCAGGTGGCGGCTTTACCCACTCCACCACAGAGGCCAGTCATTTCTGCACCCCAGCTCCCTCCTACCTAATCTATAAAGTTCTCCCCGGCCACTACATTCACGAAAGCAGGTTGGAGACCCACTTCTCCTGCCTCCTTATTCACGAGTGAGACTGTGGAGTGAGGTGTGGGAGGTCCCTGAGCGTCCAGCGAACCCAGTCGTGTGGAGGAGGCTGGTGAGGCGGGAATGGGCAGTTATTAAAAGTAAATAGAGCAGGCCAGCGCCGCTGCTCACTAGGCTAATCCTACGCCTGCAGCACCGGCACACCAGATTCTGTCCCGGTTGCCCCTCTTCCTGTCCAGCTCTCTGCTGTGGCCCAGGAAGGCAGTGGAGGATGGCCCAAGTCCTTGGGCCCTGCCCACCCTGGGAGACCAGGAGAGGCACCTGGCTCCTGCCTTCGGATCAGCGCAGTGCACCAGCCACAGTGCGCCACCTATGGCGGCCATTGGAGGGTGAACCAATGGAAAAGGAAGACCTTTCTCTCTGTCTCTCTCTCTCACTGTCCACTCTGCCTGTCAAAAAAAAAAAAAAAAAAAAAAAAAAAGTAAATAGAGCAGAGTCCCACCCCAGCCATCATCCTTCAATACACCTAGGACACTCAGAATAGAACTCAGCGTGGATGACGGCGCTACCATAACTCTGCACACCTGCCTGGGGCCTGCCTGGGGCCCACCTGTCTGCGCTCTGTATTCCTGAGTCTTCAAATGAACAGTCTCGCTAAGCCTGACTGGCAGTGGCAGGCAGAGGGACCCTAGGACAGCGAAAGGCCTCACAGCCCAGAGACCGTGCGACTCTCCTTCTATGCCTGGGTCCTACCTTATCCTCTGAAGTTCCCACTCTACACCTTTAATCCCCGCTAACCCTCTGTGCTGCCTTTCCCCAGGGTCTCCAGGTCTCTCCTCCATCTGCTATCAGCCCCAATACCTGACAGCTTTCAGACCAAGTTCCCACCTCCTGATTGCCTGCTCCACATCTGGGCTCACCTTCCTCTGCGGAAAACGAGGGCTGTGTTGAAACTACTCAGACGCCTAAATCCGCACAGTCGTGGTGCTGTGCACCTAACAGGCGCTTTATAAAGCAAATCTGTTGAATGATTGCAGTTTTCGTCTAGCACCTGCGCCTGGCAGGACTGACCAGAGGGCAGGCAGAATCCTCCCAGCTTTCAGAACCCCTCTGGGTGGTGCTGAGGTGTAGTAGGTTATGGGTGCCAGTTCAAGTCCCAGCTGCTCCACTTCTGATCCAGCTCCCTGCTAATGTGCCTGGGAAAGCAGCAGAAGATGGCCCGAGTGCTTGGGCCCCTGAACCCAAGTGAGAGACCTGGGTGAAACTCCTGGCTCCTGGCTTCGGACAAGGCAGGAGAGATGGACACATCTTGGATTCATTCTCTGATGCAACCAGTGCTGCAGCCTGCACTGGAGCCAGGCATGAAATGGCAAACAAAGCAGACAAGGCCAGACCCCAGGAGTGCCCAGTCCCAGGGAGGCGACAGGCATTAACATGCAAGTGTGGGCATCTGTGAAGAATTAGAAGCTTTGAGGGGCCGGCGCTGTGGCGTATCAGGTAAAGCCACTGCCTGCAGTGCCGGCATCCCATATGGGTGCAGGTTCAAGTCCTGGCTGCTCCACTTCCGATCCAGCTCTCTGCTATGGCCTGGGAAATCAGTAGAAGATGGCCCAAGTCCTTGGGCCCCTGCACCCATGTGGGAGACCTGGAGGAAGCTCCTGGCTCCTGGCTTCGGATCTGTGCAGCTCCGGTCGTTGTGGCCAACTGAGGAGTGAACCAGCAGAAGGAAGACCTCTCTCTCTCTCTGCCTCTTCTCTCTCTGTGTAACTCTTTCAAATAAATAAATTAAAAAAAAAAAAAAAGATCCTGAGTCAGGCACAACCATTTTCCTGGCTCACCATATGATCATTCTTATAAATGAATAAATAAAAAAGCAGCTTTGAGTATCACTCTATGCGATGACAGATGCATTCATAAACTTCCCTGAGGCGATGACCACACAGCTGTGCACGGGTCAACTCATCACACTACACACCTTGAGTAGGTACGGCTTTCATTGGTCAATGATACCTCAGAGAAAGCAAAGCTCTGTGATTTGGATTGATTTACGGTAAGAGCTGTAGAATTATTGTTGCCTTAAAATAACTAACAATCATAAAAAGATTTAATAAAAATACAATCTTTGATTATCCAGAACCCAACAACAGCAGTTTTGGGGTGTGATTTAGAAGATGTTTAGGGGCACCTTCCCAGAGGTGGTTTGTAAGCTGAGCC